TCCCGTAAAGAAGTTCCCACTTTTCTTTTATGCATGTCCCAAAATAAAGTTCTCATTTCCAAAAGTCACAACTGCCCTTATTTTTTACCCACTTTTTGTTTGATTTGACATAAAGTAAGGGTAAACTTGGAAAGTCGAAACAAAAAACTCTACCTTGCATAAATATGTGTGTAGGTCAAACTGGAAACTTCATTGCAGGACAGAGAGAGTATATTAATAAACAAAAAAAACATATTAAAATTGCACACATATATACAACACACAATTAACACATATTTTGATTTTAGAATTTCCGGACAGGACCGCCGTTAGGCCACCTCATATTGAGGTGCTTTCGGGAGATTGTTTTTATGGAATTTTATGAGCATACTACTCATACATGAAGTATAAATTATGGGAAAATGATATACTACGTATATATTACTAAGTACTAACAGAATTTTCTGGATGAAAAAATGATTGTTTATATTTTTGGACAAAAATATGACTAGTCACTGACTCACGGTGTTCGAATAATTGCACAAGAATCACTATAGTGCATTTCATAGTCATAAATGAATAATTGAATATGTCACTTTTTCGGAAAATTTTAAAATACGCCATATATGTTTGTCTTTTAAAACAGTACAGATTAATCTTCATGGAAAAGGCCTAGATTATGTCCCCAAATTTGAGATAAAAATTCAATTGAGGATTCGGTTAAATAATTTTTTAAAATACTGTGTTTTCTTAAATAGATTGCATTTATTTTCGAATTTTTTTTAATCGACTTTCCAATTGAGTTTTTAGTTGAAATTTACTGGAAACAATTTTATCGAAATTTCCACACGAAATCACCTCAAATAGGTGACCAGACGGCGGTTGTGGTAGGAAGTTCTACGATATATACATAGTTTATACTGTGTGTGTATTGAGACCACTGCAACAAGAATATCTTTTTGCGTAATTTTCTCCATATATCTATATACATACTCCGTATAATGAAAAGAAAAATATTAATTGCGTCATTTTCTCCATATATCTATATACATACTCCGTGTATAGTGTGTATATATGTCTTGTATAAATTAAAGTAATAAAACGACCGAGAATTAGTGTTAGTAAAACCATGATGCGTAACTAAATTATAATAATAACAAAAAGTCCGAGTATAGTTTATTAACGGATGTGACGTGTGAATTTCTTTTATTCTGATTGGCTAAGAAATATGGGTACCAAAACCCGTGAAATTTATGGTGGTACGGTAGAAGACCTAATTAATACGTAGTCCATAATAATTAATAAATACTCCGTATAAAATATATTCTTGTACATTTGTAGCAGCGATTATGTATAGAAAATTTCAATGTAATTGAAAAATATTTATATATAATGTTCTTAAAATTTTGTAGTAAGTATAATAATTTTCAGATTTTTGAAATAAGTGTGATAGTTTTGTGTGTGATATACTTAAATATTACGGAGTACTTTGTAAATGTATGTAAAATTAAATCAGATAACATGATTACTATAAGACTAACTGCTTTCAATGCTTACTATTATTATAGTTATTTGAATATTGTGAAAAGAAATTACATTTTATTTTACTTTTGTATATTATTATATTTATCCTGATATAATAACTTATAAATGTTGACCGGGTCTTTCCGGCGTTGACCGGGCTGACCCGTGACCCATTTATTTGTCCGGGTCGCTCACCGATCCGGTTCTTGTAACATAGAAGAGAACCCGGCCATCCCTATCCCCGTTCACTGAATTACTGTGCTCTCTATCCCTCTTCTCTCTCTCTAAAAATGGAATGGGTAATTGTGTGTTGTGGGTTAATATGAATGCTATTGTGAGTACATGTGCATTGTGTTAAAATGCATTGAGCTTTATTGTTAAGAAAGATTTATTTTAAGTTATTTGTAATGCCTATGTTACATGTGTGAGTTAATTATTGAAATGATTTTTATGTTATACATATATGAGCATCACTTTGAATAAAATGAGCATTGGTATAACATTATAAAATGACTAAAAAAGAGTTTTATGTTATACCCAAATGAGTATAATATTTCCACGAAATGACTATTAACGTTTTAAGATAAGTACTATTACGAGCGACTATTCAATGATTTTTTTATGCTCAATAGGTTTTGAAAATTTTATGCTCAATTCCAGAGTTTCAATGTTCAATAGAGGAAAGTTGATGCTCAATGAAATGTCTTAAGCATATTCTAAAAGTTAAATATAAAATTAGATTCGTATATTGGAATCCATAGGAGTCTATTACCGTATAAGTTAAAAAATATATATAAAAGAAAAAATAAGAAAAAGAAAGGGCCTGTTTACTAACAGAGATATTTTCCTGTTTTCTACTTCTGTTTTTCGTTCTCCAATTTTCTGTTTTTATTTTTCAGTTTTTCTATCTCCAATTTTCTGTTTCTATTTTTTAGTTTTCCATTTTCAAATCTGAAAACATGTTCATCAATTTTTTTACCCAGATCTCCAATTCCACACCCTTGACCCCTACCCTTACCACGATCTTGCACTCTACCCATACTCCCCCACAACCCTTCATACCCACCCATACCTACTCGTAGCGGTCGGGGTAGGGAAGTTATGGGTGGGGGTGGGGTAAGGGGTATGGTCGGGGTGGGGTGGTAAGGTCTAGGGGTAGGGGGTTGGGTGGGGGTAGTGGGTGGGTTAGGGTCGTGGTTAGGGGTAAGGGTGGGGTAGTGGGTAGGGTTTGGGGTAAGGTAGAGGTAGGGTATGGAGTTGGGATAGGATGGCGGTTGGGTGGAGCCGAGACCGGGGTGGGGCCGAGGTAGGGAAGGGGTGGGGGTAGGATGGCGGTAAGGGTGGGGTAGTGGGTAGGGTTGGGGTAAGGTAGGGGTAGTGGGATAGGATGGCGGTAGGGTGGGCCCGGGATCTGGGTGGGGCCGAGGTGGTTCCGGGTCGGGCCACCCGGCCCGAGTCCACCCCTAGGCGGAAGGGTGCTGGTAGGATGACAGTACGAGGGTGGGGGTAGGATGGCGGTGGGGTGGGGCTGAGGTAGGCACATGTGGTAAGGGGTAATATACGGGTGGGGGTAGGGTAGGGTGGGTCGGGGTGGGGTCGAGGTGGTAGGGGGGTGGCGGTAGGGTGGATCGGGGTGGGGCCGAGGTAGGGGCATGTGGCCTGGTAGGGGGTGGGGTAGGGTCATTACATGGAAAAATGGGTATGCGGGGTGGGGTTGGGTGGGTAAGGTAGGGTAGGGGTAAGGGGTAAGGTACGAGGATGGAGGTACCGGAATGGAATCGACATCGGAGCGGACATGGACCCACCACTAGGTGTACGTATGCAAATTTATTGCAGCGGCACTGTAGCATCTGCGTTTTCCAAATTTGGAAAACTAGTAAAAGTCACTTCTCCAAATCATTAAGGAAAAGAGAGACATGTCTCATTTTTTCCATTTTGGAAAACGATTTGGTAAACGCGTTTTTCTTTTTTCCTTTCTCCAGTTTTCCAGGAATTTCTTTGGTAAACACGTTTCCTGTTTTCTGTTTTCCAGTTTTCTAGAAAACTGGAAAATATCTCTGTTAGTAAACAGGCCCAAAGTGACTCGGAAGTTGTGATGCAGAATTCACGATGCTCAATAATACTCAACAGAATAGGTCTGGTGCTCATTAAAAGTTCATTAATATTCATTTAGAAGAAATCGTGATTTTTTATCTCAATAGAGGAGATTTGATGATCAATGAAAATCATTATGTTAAACTAACAAACCTTACAATTTTCATATCAATGAACATTTTGTAATTTATGTATGCTCATTGATACTGATGTTATGCCCATTTTAATTTAAAATGTCATATCAATGCATACTTCAAAAATATCATATTACATTAAATTCACATATTAAAATTCATAGGAGTTGATTATGAATATAATTTAATAAGTTTTTATAAAAGAAAAATAACAAAAAGATAGTGAATTAGATGTTATGAAGCAGAGATCATGATTCTGAATATTAGACTCCTAATAGTACTCATCATAATAGGTCATATGCTTATTAAATGCTTATTCACCAGAAGTCATATTTTTCATCTCGATCAATAGCAGATGTTTGATGCTCATCAATTAAAATGTCATGATGTTCAAATAACAAATCTCATGATTTTCATATCAATGTGAACTTTGTAATTAAGTTATGTATGTGCATTTGGTACTGATGTTATGCCCATTTTTAAAATGTCATATCAATGTATATTTCAAAAGTATCATACAATAGTATTACATTAGATTCACATATTGAAATTAATAGGAGTGGATTATAGATATAATTTAATAAGTTTTTATAAAATAATCTGCCAAATAGGAGTTATCTGCCAAGTTTGGAAAAAATTTTATGTTTAAAGCCTAGTAATACCAAACTGGGCAAAAATTTACTCCCATTCAGGGAATAAAAACCATGATAGTCCTATTTTGAAAATTTTAAAACGTTTTTACTCATACACGAACTGCACGTGAGACCAATTGCTCCAGCAAATCAGCCTTTATTTTTATCTTTTATTAATGACATGAATGAGTTAACATTATGGCTAGTCTAACATCGTTAACCAACATGGAAACCATTCAATGGGAAGGAGAAAATAATAATAATAATAATAATAATATCATGAAATAACTACATAATTATGATTAAAATAAAGATTATTTAGAAAAATATGACTAGTGACTAAAGTAATAATGGAATAATAACAACTTATGTTCAATTTTTAAACATAAGTTACCATAAAACTACATTGTAGTAACTTTATTCATATATGTGTAAATAAGTTTTCTTTAAGTAATATTTTTGACAAAAAACCCTAATCTCACTACTCAATCCACCAATACATAATTTTAATCATAATTATAATACTCCGTATAAAGTATGGAGTATAATTATAACTATACTTATATAATTTGAATGTTATGTTACTCATAGAAAATGAGAGTATACTATCCACTAGCATACATTTGATGGATCAAATTATCATTTCATCATTTATTTATATTTAAATTATTCAATTACAATCTTCTTTATATTTTTATTGATTATGGGATAAAATAGCAGTACATAGAATTTGGGATTATATGTGACATGAAAAGATCGAAATTAGGGTTGGTGCATGGGCGCAGCTAGGTAGCTACATGCCAAAGTCTCTACTTGCATCCGCCATTGAGCTCCAATCCCACAGTCTGTCGGTGAACGCGGCGGCGGCGTGGTGGAGAGTCCCCGGCGGGAGGGCGTTGAGAGGCAAGGAGTGAGGCGGAAATGGCTGCAACATCGGCGGCGAGGAAAGGTTTTGAAAGTAGTAATGCTGGGGGTGTTGGACGACCGGAATCATGTGCTGAGAGTTGACTAGGCGGTGGAGATCATCGGCCAGGGCGGCCGAGGAGGACGTCGGCAAGAAAATGGATTGAAGCGGCGGTGGGGCGGCGGTGGAGAGGGCGAGTGAAGTGCCAACTTCGGTGCTGCTGCTCGAGCTAGTCTCCGCGCTCATCACCATCATCGTCTTTTCCTCGGCCACTACTTGGTACGGCGGCGGAAAAGATTCTTGCATTTTCTTGACGGAACTCGGCCCTGGCCGCGAAGACGCCGCCCTCGTCGGCAAAGTGCGCGGCAGCGATGGGTGGTCTTCCACTCCCGCCCTTTTGTAGACCCGACAAAGTGATATCTCTCCCTAATCAAATCATAAAACCAAATCGATCATACAAATTGGCAGCTTAATCATAAACTCCCAAAAATACTTTCCACTTTCCTTTTTGGACCGTTTCCAAAAATACTTTACACTTTCATTTTACATTTTTCTTACACAACCACAATCATACATTTCAAATTTATTTCACTTTCTTAATAAACATGTCAAGTCAAACCGGGAAAGATTTTTAGGAACGGGGTAGTACTACTTATTATAATTACATCTTTTCAAATTAAACCACGAACACACACACATAATATAAACTACTTTTGTTCCAAATTGGTTTGCATTGCCAAGTTTTTTGTCAATGTTAAAGTTAAATCATTCCTATCGATAATTAATTCAATTTTAATAATTAAAATTTACATATTTAGAAACTAAATTAATTTTTTTATAATTTTTCAAAATCCAAATTAAAATTTAATTAAGAATTGATAGCTTAATTAAATGAATAAAATGAAAATGAATCTATTTGATTCAAAAAAATCAAAATATCAACTCAATTTGAGACGGAAAGAATACATAATTTTGATGGAGAGTTTATTTATGCCTTAAAATCCATGAAAACTATTATCTGTATATTACTTCGTAAGCATTTAACGTTCAAGGCATCGATCGATGTATTTGGATCTCTTAATCCATCTTTTATGCATTAATGAAATGAAATGAATAAAATGATCCAAATTACAGAGACATAACAGGAGGGAAAAAAGCAGGTAGGCCGGACGCCGACTGGTATATTTGTGAAGATCACGGGTTTCTTGTTACATATCATGGGATGTACTTTTTTTAAATTGGCCCCATATATTATCAATACTTATCACCATTTTATATATGTAGATGTTTAATTGAACAATTCAAAAGATATGTAGATTTATAATTAATACTTTGGAATGAAAGATCAGGAGATGAGCCAGAAACTCCCCATTTATGTATAAGCTTAAATTAGAGACTCAGCCAAATAAAATTTTTGGGTTCTAATTTGATTATTTGATAATAATAATAACAATAATTATTGATTATAATTGTTAATCAATAATACTCTGTAATAATATTTAGTAATATCTTCTTCGAAGGATATAAAACATATCTCGATCTTGAATCGATGATGGATCTGTAATAAACTAATTCGATCAACTAATAATAAAATGTTAATAATAATCTGATCGTTGTATTAGTTTTTTTTAAAAGAACTACTGTACTACGTACATATTTACAGATTCCCGGCTGAATGTTTATGATTAATAATTGTTTCGAAAATATTGGTGTTTATGAAAGTGAATATGAGAACAATATAGTTCGTATGTGTGTGTGATGTGTTTGATAAAGTGTATTACAAACCTCGATAACTTTCTACTACATACGGAGTAATTAGTAAAAAATTGTATTCAAAGTAGAGGATGTGAATAGTGAATAACCTACAATTGAACATGTAACCATTATTTACGAACACGTTACCTTCTGCAAGCGATCGGTTTCATGGTGTGGCAAGCGGTATTCATTCATAATCCAACTGGTACGGATGCCTTTGGGAGCCTTGCCGGAGTAGAAAACGAGCGTCTTCTTGAGTCCGATTGACCTAGAGTTCTCTCCCCGAATCATACGGTCGGCACCGGTGGCCTTCCAGTAACCGGATGTCGTCACCCGGTTCGGTCGGTCTCCATTTCTGTACTTGCGATCTCTCGGCACATAAAAGTACCACTCTTTCTCCCCTATTGCTGCCAATGCTACAAAATACAACCCAACTCAACATATCACAACCCCAATAATAATACGTAGTACTCCCTCCGTCCCGCTAAGATTGTCCTATTTTACCTTTTCAGGAAGTCCTACTAAGATTGTCTCATACCAAATTTGGTAAAGATTGTATGGCTCTAATCCATTCTTACTTTATTCTTACTTTATTAATTTAATATCAACCACACAAACTCACTTTTCTTAATAATTGTACCACCTTCTCTCGTCCCAATCTTAGTGGGACGGAGGTAGTAATAATTATTACGGAGTATTATTATAATAATATAATTCATCAATTAATAGATTTAATTAAAACTAGCTTGCAGCTAATTGATTAATTCAAAATCCTTTGCTCGATCAATTAACAATTTAAACACTTTCAATAATATTAATCCATCAAGAACTTAACCCGCCCGCCACGTCGATCTGATCTGCTATATGTAAGAATCATTAATTAATAATCAAATAAGGATGATGTAAGTATATATGCTATGATAAGTACGTACCGGGGAGTTCCCAAGGGTCAAAGCGGTAGAGATCAAGAAAAGTGATGAGGTCAACGTTGAAACGCTTCCCCTCCACCTTACGGCGAAGGTAAAACTCGACGAGTTCTTCCTCCGTGGGGTGGAAGCGGAAGCCGGGCATGACCATGTCGTTTTCGTGGTCGTCCACCACGCCCGCCTCCTCCTCCTCCTCATCACGCCGGTGATGATGAGCGCCTCCGATGTAGTTGTTGCGGTAGTTCTCGTCTTGTTGACTCATATTTGGTGGCGAAACTGCCATAAAAGAATGACCGATCGATGGTGGTAGATAATGACCGGCGGCGTTCAGCTCCAAGCTATCTATTAGCTGACTTAGAGGGTTATTTAGAGTCTGAAATGATAGATACTCTAAGCTAGGCTCTCTAGCTATATATTACTCGCTCTTATAGTAGTTCTCGATCTTAAGCCCTTTCTTGCCTTTTTATATTTTACATGAGCTAGCTAGGTTGTGGTTAGAAGTTATAACTACTAATAAGCACGTGTCCAAGATCAGATCACGAACGAGTTTGAATTACGACCTCAATTAGGGTTACACATCGGGTTGGGACGGTAAGCGCGAGTTAACTCTTAGAAGGCGTGTAAGAATGTTTTTAGTTGGATTGAACATTTCTAGTCTAACTAGTCTGGTCTGATTATTTTAAGTCTAATATGGTCTGATAATGTCTAGCTTCTGTGAATTTTATGATTATTGAAGTCTGATCTAGTCTAATCTGTTTAAGTGTATAGTATGGTGTGATCTATTTTGGTCTAGTTTGGTCTGAGACTGAAATAAGTTCAAGTAAAAACATTCTAAATGGATAGCTTATATATGAATATATAGGTGATGTGAGTTTTCTGGCACTTAAAATAAACAAATTAATAAAGATTGTGTGAGATTTGATTTTGAAATTAAATGCTGCGAATAGAAAGCTATATTAAAGGGCTCTTTCTAATTGTTAACACCCATATGGGCTTAGTATATATCTGTATAATTTATTATTGGGCTAAGGGCTTTGTTTGTATATTTTCTTGTATAAATACCCTTAAACTAGTTAATACATGGAATGAGAAAGATTTATTCCCTAAATTACTAATCGTTCAACATGGTATCAGAGCCGGTTATAGGCTAGGCGTTCGCGATCTCCTTCTTCTTCCTCGACGAGAAGCACCAGCGTGCTCGAACTCGTTGCCATGGGAGATACTTCTTCACCCTATTATTTGGGCTCGGGAGATCAGCTCGGAAACCTTATCACTCATGTGATATTCAAGGGGGACGTAGCTTAGTCTCGCGTGTTTGCTCTCTCCTTGAAGGCTCGCCGGAAACACGTTTTTATTGATGGATCACTCAAGGAACCGACCGAAGCAGCGAAGAAGCTCGATTGGGAGACCAATAATTCCATGATTGTTTCATGGATGTTGCGGAGCATGGATCCGGGTGTTGCTGCGACCATTCCGTTCCATGATGAGACTCAGAAACTGTGGGAATATCTGGAGAAGCGGTACAGTGTTGCTAACGGTCCCCGATTGCAGCAACTACGGGCTTTAATTACAGAGTGCAGACAGAGCAAAAACATGACCGGGGACACCTATTACACCACGCTCATGGGTCTGTTCGATGAACTGCATAGGCTTAAACCGCTGCACGTATGCTCGTGTGGGCGGTGCACGTGTGATGTGGTCGGGAAATTTGTTGTCGATAGGGAGGAAGAAAAACTCCATCAAATCCTCGTTGGCATCGATGACGAAATTTGTGGAACGGTGCGGTCTAACCTTCTATTTCACTCTCCGTTGCCGGACCTTAATCGCGCGCACCAGGGATTCTTGCAGGAAGAGAATTCACGGGTTGTTGCACGCGGAAAGACCATTGCAGCGACTGAAGTCCAGGCGTTTGCTCTGAAGGTAGACCGTACTGCCAAGAACCGAGATGATAAGCCAGAACGCACACACCCAGTTTGCACACATTGTAAATAAAAGGGACATGAGGTGGCAACATGTTTTAAACTCCACGGGTATCCCGAGTGGTGGGAAGAACGTCAACGGGCTAAGGGACAGACCGGAGGCCGGGAGGGACATTCTGGCGGAGGGGGGCTGTACGCACTCACGTCGTGGTAGCTTCAATCCCAGCTCCCGATGTTGGCAGCTCGTCTCCTGGCATTGACACGAATGGACTGCCCTCCTTGAGTAAGGAGCAGATCCTTGCCCTATTGAACTTAATTAATAATGACCCTCGTTCAGGAGACCGCATGTCGGGTAAGTCTTTATCACACCTTGATTGGATCATCGATACCAGAGCATCACATCATGTCACAGGCGATTTTTCGTGTTTGGTTAGTCCTGTGAGTATACACGCCTGTCCGGTTGGGTTGCCGGATGGTAGGCAGGTGGTTGCCAAGTTCGAAGGACGTGTACCACTTTCTGATAGCCTCGTTCTTAAAAAATGTGTTATACTATCAGGATTAAATTGTCATCTTCTCTCGGTTTCTCAATTAACTGCCCGTCGTTTGGGTCATCCTTCCGACCGGGTGCAGGGTGCTAAAGTTATTACCTTGTTTTTCTACTAGTAGTACGCAGAAAAAATTAAATAAGACTTGTGAAATTTGTCCTCAAGCTAAGCAAGTTCGTGACTCTTTCCCGCTTAATAATAATAAAGCCAGTCGGATTCTTGAATTTAATCATTATGATTTGTGGGGACCCTATAAAACCTCGTCTACATGTGATGCAATTTATTTCTTTACTTTAGTTTATGATTACTCTCGGGCTGTTTGGGTGTATTTGCATCGGGATAAAAAGGAGGTGCATAAGTATTTTCTTTCATTTTTGGCTATGGTTGAGAAGCAGTTTGAGGTATCTGTAAAAATTGTGCGCAGTGATAATGGCACGGAATTTAATTGCATGATGCCTTATTTTGATGATCGAGGTATATTGTTCCAAACCTCATGCGTTCACACCCCCACAACAAAATGGGCGTGTTGAACGTAAACATCGTCATATCCTGAACGTAGCGCGGGCATTAATGTTCCAAGCCAGTATGCATATCACCTTCTGGGGAGAGTGCGTTCTCACGGTAGTGTACCTAATTATCAGGACACCGTCGAGTATTTTGGGCGGGAAGACTCTGTACGAGGTCCTTACCGGGGTCACGCCCGGTTTTCTCATCTACGCATATTCGGCTGCCTTTGCTTTGCACATAACACACTCTCATGGTGATAAATTTTCCTCACGCAGCCACAAGAGTGTTTTTATTGGCTATCCTCATGGAAAGAAAGGATGGAAATTATATGGTTGACATACAAGCGATATTTTCGTGTCCCAGGATGTACACTTTCACGGAAATGAAACTACTAGAATTTTTATCATTTGCTGCCCCCTTTTTGCTGCGGTTCTAGATTCTTCGCAGCAATTAATCGCTATTTCCATCTAATTGCCTTGGTTCTATTTCAACCGCAGCATTATGTTTATAAAAAACCGAAGTATTTGCTGTGGGTGTGTTTCAACCGCATCAATCAACGAACAATAATCGTGTCAAAGTGCCTAAAAAATAAAATAAAATTACTTTATAACCTTTCGTTGCGCGCATCTCTTAACCGCAACACATGGTCCACAAAAATCAGCTTATCCTCTTCTTTCCTTCCAATATCTCGTCACTTAACCCTAACCTCAAGTCAAGCTCCCGCCGCTGCTCTCCAACGCAGTCCTTTTCCGTCTGCTTACAGCCGCCGACATGTCGTTCCAGCAGTTGCCGCCGTCTCGTTCAAGCACCCGACGCCGCTGTCTATTTCAAACACCTGATGCCGTTGTCTTCGTCCACCAGCAACCCCTGCCTCCTCCAGCAGTGGTCCATGTCCTTCGCCCCCCTCACAGCCTATTGAGCGCACAAAGTCACCGCATGCCGCTCCTCCTAAAAAGGTAAGAAATCTGTGATTTAAGTTGTTTTACTTTGTTGATAGTTTTCATGTTTGGCTCGTTTCTCCTTTTTAATTAGTTTTGTTGGTTAGTTTATATTGGTTTTGCTGGTTAGTGTATGTTGGTTTTGTTAATATAGATGACAGATCAACCTAAAAATAGGTAGATTTCGTGCTCTTTGTATTTGATTTAGTTTGTTTATTTAGCTAATGTGTCAATTTATTAATGTATGTGGTTTTGTTAATTTCCATTGATTTTTTTTGGGTTTGTTATTTTGTTTTTAGTTTTGCAACAAATTAGTTCTTTGCTCGAGTACTCCACACTAGTTCATTTTATTTGCTACCAATTTAGTTGGCTTGTTTCTTAACAGTATGATAAATATACTGCTGCTATATCATCAAACACTACAAATCTGATAGGGACTAGTTCATTTTGCAACTTATCAGCTTATCTGTGGAATGCTAGTGTCAATAATGCTGGAGTTGGAAGTGTTAATTTCAACTGGTTTTTGAAAAATGTTTGCGTTAGGTTGTATTCATCTAAAGGGCCTCGGTGAAACAATACTCGATCTAAGAAGTCTTGTCCCGCTCTTGCTAGAATAAAGACAAAGATAGTTTCTTTGTTGTCAGGAAGGGAGATCTCATTGGAGTATACAAGAATTTGAGTGATTGCCAAAATCAAGGATAACTATGGACATATGGGTATTGTTTTTCTTATTCTTGGCTGCTTTTATATATGTTTCACCTCATGTCAGTTTGTCTAAATCATCAATAAACCTTCTTGACTTATTATCATTTCAAGATTCATTTCAGTGAAAAGAAGCATGTAAGAAGGGTAAAGACAAATGTGGGCATAACATTAACTGATTTGCCTTTGCTTTTGCATCTTCTCTTTATTCACACTTCAATTTATTGAGCTTGTTATCAGAATTAAGCATATAGTAGTAATGAGAATGGAAGAATTTTGTGTGTTTAATATAAGAGGGTTAAGACCCTATATATAGGTTACAAAGAAGGAATATTCCTACATAAGATGCTATACTATAATAATGTCTAGAGTATATTCCTAAAGCATATTCTTATATAGAATATTCCTACATAAGATGCTATACTATAATAATGTCTAGAGTATATTCCTAAAGCATATTCTTATATACAATAATTCTTTCACACTCCCCCTCAAGTTGGAGCATAGATATTTATCATGCCCAACTTGTTACATAAGTAATCAACACGAATCCCATTTAGAGCTTTGGTGAATAAATCTCCAAGTTGTTCTCCAGTCTTCACATATTCGGTAGAGATCAATCCTTTTTGTATCTTCTCTCGAATAAAATGACAATCAACTTCAATATGCTTTGTTCTCTCGTGAAATACGGGATTGTTTGCTATGTGTATAGCAGCTTGGTTATCACACCACAATTTAGCAGGCATTGATGTCTTCAATCCGAGTTCAGTCAATAAATGGCTTATCCATATGATCTCACATGCAGATTGTGCCATAGCTCGATATTCTGATTCAGCACTCGAACGAGAAACCACATTCTGTTTCTTACTCTTCCAAGATACAAGATTACCACCAACAAAGACGCAATAACCAGATGTAGATCTTCGATCATCTTTAGAACCGGCCCAATCAGCATCTGCAAAACACTCTATTCTCATGTGATCATGGTTTTGATAAACAATACCTCGTCCTGGTGCACCCTTTAAGTAACATAATATGTGTTCTACAGCAGCCCAATGATCAATGGTTGGGGATGACATGTATTGACTCACTACACTCACAGAATACGCAATATCTGGGCGAGTGACTGCGAGATAATTAAGCTTTCCAACCAGTCTTCTATATCTTTCTGGGTCTTCAAACGGTGTGCCTTCTTGAGTGAGTTGAACGTTGGGAACCATGGGTGTTGTACTTGGTTTTGCCCCTAATTTCCCGGTCTCAGCTAGTAAGTCAAGTACATATTTTCGTTGAGATAGAAATATGCCTTTCTTACTTCGTGTTACCTCAATTCCCAAAAAATATTTCAATGAGCCAAGATCTTTCGTCTGGAATTGGCTGTGCAGAAAATTCTTTAGGGCCAAGATACCTGCATTATCACTCCCTGTAATCACAATATCATCAACATACACCACAAGCAATGTGATACCTGCTTGCGTTTGTCTGTAAAAGACAGAGTGATCTGATTGTCCTTTTTTCATTCCAAACTGTTCAATTGTTTGACTGAATTTCCCAAACCATGCACGCGGACTTTGTTTCAAACCATAAAGAGACTTGCGAAGTCGACAAACTTTCCCATACTCCCCCTGAGCAACAAACCCTGGAGGTTGCTCGATATAAACTTCCTCCTGAAGGTCACCATGCAAGAATGCATTTTTAATGTCTAACTGATGCAAGTGCCAACCATGAGTTGCTGCGAGTGAAATAAGTAACCTGACAGATGTTAATTTAGCAACAGGAGAAAAAGTGTCAGAATAATCTACACCGTAGGTTTGAGCATAACCCTTCGCAACTAATCGAGCTTTCAACCGAGCAATAGATCCATCTGGATTGACCTTCACAGCAAAGACCCACTTACATCCAATAGATTTCTTCCCTGTAGGCAAGTATACCAAATCCCATGTACCATTAAGATCCAAAGCATTCATTTCTTCTATCATGGCAAGACGCCATTCCGGATGAGCCAAAGCTTCTTTAACAGATTTGGGAATAGAAATAGAATCAATGGAGGCAATAAAAGAGCATGAGGTAGATGATAACTGACTGTACGACACAAAAGAAGAAATAGGATGAGTACAAGATCGTGTACCTTTACGCAGTGCTATCGGGAGGTCAAGATCTAATGTACAGACAGGATCTGGAGATGCAGTTATTGGTTCAGGACATGAGGTCGAGATCGGATCAATATCAGGATAAGGAATCACAGGCGGGGGAAGATCTGGTGCTTTGTGTCGACGTGTGTATACCAATTGTACTGGAGGCCTGGGGTCGGAAACAGTAGGATGTGGAGTAATTTCCGAAGCAGTGGACTCAGGTATGGTGACTGTGTAAATGAGTATATCATCATTCTCCCTACAAATATCTGCCTCTGGAGATGAATAAGGTGTATTCTCATAAAATGAGACATCAATCGAAACAATATATCGACCTGTACTTGGACAAAAACATCTGTACCCCTTTTGAACTCGAGAATAACCTAAGAAAATGCACTTTAATGACTTGGGATCTAACTTTGTTAAATGAGGATTAACATTGCGAACAAAACAAGTGCAACCAAATATTTTAGGCGGTATAGGAAAAAGTTCATTATTTGGAAATAGGCACTGATACGGAGTTTTACCGTCCAAAACAGTAGATGGCATTCGATTGATCAAAAAACATGCGGTAGACACAGCATCCGCCCAAAAATGTTTAGGCACATTCATTTGGAAAAGAAGCGCACGCGCAGTTTCTAAAAGATGTCTGTTCTTTCGTTCAGCCACACCATTTTGAGGAGGCGTGTCTACACATGAAGTTTGATGAATTATGCCATGTTGAGCCATATACAACTTAAACGAGGCAGACAAATACTCTTGAGCATTGTCTCCTCTTAAAACACGAACAGGAACATTAAATTGAGTTTTTATTTCAGCACAAAAGGCACAAAAATGAGAAAACAACTCAGAACGCCGTTTCATAAAGTAAATCCAAGTCATACGAGAGTAATCATCAACAAAGGTAACAAAATATTTAAAGCCAATTTTAGACACAACGGGGCAAGCTCCCCAAACATCAGAATGAACAAGTTCAAAAGGAGCATGTGCTCGTTTATTGACTCGAGGGCTTAAACTAGTACGATGATGTTTTGCAAATTGACACGAATCACACTGTAAAGACGACACCTTATTAAATTGAGGATGAATTTTCTTCAACAAAGGGAGAGATGGATGTCCTAGTCGATAGTGAGCCTCTAACACAGATCCAACCCCAAGACAGGAGATGGTTTTAGGTAAGGATGTGTCCAAAAGATAGAGACCAGCCGACTCATATCCTTTACCAATAATCTGATTCGTCAACAGATCCTGAAATACACAATATCCAGGAAAAAAGGTTACAGAACAGTTTAGTTTACGCGTGATTTTACTGATCGAAATCAAATTAAAAGCAAAGTTTGGAAGACTTAGCACAGGTGACAAAGGTAAGGTGGATGTTGGGACAATTGTTCCCGATCCTAAGACTGGGGAGGTAGACCCATCAGCTAAAGTGACAGTAGAAGTATGAAGAGGTGTGTGGAATGAAGAAAAAAGATTAGGATTACCTGTCATATGATCGGTTGCTCCTGAGTCGATGACCCATTTTGAGGATGAAGAAACAAGACATGTGTTTGGATTACCTGAATTAGCGACAACTGAGATAGGAGTAGATGAATGCTTTAGAGTCTCTTGGTAGCAAAGAAATTTGGCGTATTCCTCAGAAGACATACTGATTGATCCATCAGAAGACTTTGTAGCGGAAGCAATGTGAGCAACTTGATTTCCTTGATTTTTGAATTTTAATTTTCTACAATCTTTGATCAAGTGTCCAGGCTTCTTACAGTAGTTGCATACTATGCCTTTGCCAGATGGACCAGTACGTGGCCATTTCTCACCTCCTTGGGTAAACGTTGGAACTTGCCCTACAAATGCACTGTTTGACTGAGGTGCTACTGGCGTGGATGAAGTATCGGTGCGAAGCACTCTAGTGAAAGATTCTTGAAGAGAAGAGACCTCATCACTAGATAAGATATGTGATTTGGCTGTTTCAAATTCAGATGTTAGACCAGCCAAAAAACTCATCACTGCCATTTGTTCTCTTTGTTTTTGCTGCACTTTGATATCAGGACTAAATGGCATTAATGTATTCAGCTCTTCATAGGTTTTCTTGAAATCCATAAAATAAGCCGTGAGAGGCTTATCTTTCATTTCCGCTCTGTAAAAGGCTTTGCACACCTCATAGATGTGGTTAAGATTACCTTTTCCAGAGTACATAAATTCCAAATAATCAAACAATTCTTTCACAGTATCGCAATGACTAACATACCCCATTACCTCATTCTCCATTGAGTTTTGAATTTGGATAAATAATCTAGAATCGTCACGAAGCCAGGCAGTATTAGCAACTCTATCAACCTCCTCCTTTGGCGGGTCATCAACTAAGTGAGTATATTTATCAATGCTCCTTAAATAGCGTTTGATAGTTTTACTCCATTCAAGATAATTAGAGCCACAAAGTTTATTCTCAGTAATTTTAAAATTAATGGGAATAACTTCAGAAACTATCAAAGGCTGACTTTGTGTTACAGTGGAGGTGTCAGAACCAGGCATTTTTTTTTTTTCTTTTTCTTTTTTTTTTTTTTTTTTTGAAACTGTAATAAAATTCAAAATTGAGATATTTAATTTAATGAAAACTTACAGCAGCCCGTTTTGGGCTGGAATAAAAATCCAGAGGCACGTCTGACTTGGGTGCTGATTTGGAACTGCAGACTGCGAGCACCTGGCACAGATGGGGAATATGGTCTGCACAAAGGTTCTGAATAGAGGGGGGCTAAATAAAAAAAAAATCTGTCCTGGAGTGAGTTTCTGGGAGACAGAATGGTGCCTAGAGGTTCTGGAGAGTCTGAGCTGAAATCAGGTTTCTTTGAGAAAGAACCCAGTCTGAAAAACTAAGCTGAAATTTAAAAGAAAAAGGAACTAAATCTTTCCTAATTCTCTGATACCATGTTATCAGAATTAAGCATATAGTAGTAATGAGAATGGAAGAATTTTGTGTGTTTAATATAAGAGGGTTAAGACCCTATATATAGGTTACAAAGAAGGAATATTCCTACATAAGATGCTATACTATAATAATGTCTAGAGTATATTCCTAAAGCATATTCTTATATAGAATATTCCTACATAAGATGCTATACTATAATAATGTCTAGAGTATATTCCTAAAGCATATTCTTATATACAATAATTCTTTCACAGAGCTAATGGGTGTTAATGGATGGGATTAATGGAATAGTTCTCCTCCTCTATGTATTCAGTTCTCATTATTATTTTGGCTTGGAATAAATACTTGCAGTTTTGATTTGTGATTGTGCAGCTTTGAGAGCTTCTAACGTCTCAGGTAGCTCAATTTTTATGATGTCATAAATTTCCATATGTGTTCGATATATTTTTTATGACCTCAATTTATAAATATGTAGCTTTTAATTTTTAGTGCAAATTTATACATTTCTTCATAATGTAACAAGTATCCCCTCCCATTTTAAGAGTCATGATTAACATTAATAGTTTGTAAAGGTGCAGAGATCATAACCTATTCCAGAAGTTTAGTGTTGTTTCATTTTTAATATTTTAAGTTTTAGTACAACATTTTACCTTTAGACCTTAGTCATGGAATTCCAAAATTAGATGTTTGATCTCTCTTCTTAGTTTTCTGATGGTAGTACCTTTAAAAGTTCATCAAATGAATTGAATTTCTTAATTATGTTTTATAAGTATGATATATGGTTCATTGTATTTTGGTTACTTTCGCTCATGATTTACATATAGTGATTTAATTAAATGGTTGATTCGTAGTCAGAGGTTTAAATGGTTGAATTGTAGTTTGGAGATATATCTTGTAATTATAGTTACCAATAAATATAAAAAAGACAGTTGCATGCTTATAATAAAGTTACTATATCATTATTAATTTAATTTTTTACTTGTTGATGCTATAAATTACTCAAAGTGAGCATGTACTAATTGGAGCTATTGAATATTTCAGGTTCACAAAACTACTATGACTGATGAAGTTCGAAATAAATGGATGATAATGTTTCTCATAATTTATTGTACTTTATAGTTTATACCACACATAAGATGGTAATGTAAGATTATAACTTTTGTTGTATTGGTAGTGATCTATTTTGGTAGTGATCGGATATATACACTTGAATATGTTTGATTCCATTACTCTGTACTTGATGTAAAGTTACTTTTTTTATTGGGTAAAATGTAAAAAAAATGCCCACCATCCATTTGGGGGCAATAATAGCTATTATAAAAATATGCTGATCATCCAAAACAAACCAACCGATGCAAACGTGCAGCTGTTATAATTCTATAATAATTCTAAGCAAGAACCGTAGCAATAAATGAATTTCCCAAAAAAACAAAACCTCTATTTGCTGCGGTTATTGACCGCAGCAAATAACCAAATCTACATTTTGCTGCCCCTTCAATTGCTGCGGTTCAAAACCGCAGCAAATAGCTTAAAATAACCGCAACAAATAATTATTTTTCTAGTAATGTGATTTCCCATTTCATTCCCTGGACACGGCTTCTAGCAATACTTTGCCCACAATCATCAAGCCAATTCCGATATTTGACTCGGATGACACTACTCCGACCACCGGGGTCCATGCCTCGAGTGAGACTACTCCACCGGTGTCCACTACTTTTGAATACATCCCTTCTTCCACTTCTGCCGAGCATGTTTCTGGGCACTCTCCACAGTTGGGCCGAGGGTTGAGATCCAAACGGACGTCCGTTTTGCTTCGGGATTTTGTCACAAATAATGTTACAGCTAGCCATCTCCGCCACACACCGGTACCGACAGCTCCTCAGGTATGCCTTATCCTATAACATCTTATATGAAATGTGATAAATATTCTTCCCGCCATCGGGAGTTTCTTGGAGTTGTTCTTGCAGGTGAAGAACCCCGATCTTTTAGGGAAGCTATGGATAACCCGGGATGGCGTCAGGCCATGCAACGTGAGATTGAGGCTCTCGAAACCAATAAAACTTGGACAATGCAGTCGCTTCCTCCAGGTAAAAAGGCTCTTGGGTGCAAATGGGTGTACAAAATTAAACATCATTCAAATGGTACTGTTGAGCGTCTAAAGGCTCGCTTGGTTGTCTTTGGCAATCACCAAAAGGATGGTATCGACTATACTGAGACATTTGCACCCGTGGCCAAAATGGTCACCGTTCGTGCTCTATTGGCAATAGCTACAGCGAAAAATTGGGAGTTGCATCAGATGGATGTACATAATACCTCTATTCACGGTGATTTTCACGAGGAAGTTATATGAAACCTCCTCCTGGTTTTTATTCTTCGCAGCCTGGTCTTGTTTGTCGTTTGACTAAATCTCTATATGGCTTACGCCAGGCTTCACGTTGTTGGTTCTCTAAATTGGCGACTGCTTTACGCCACTATGGGTTCACCCAATCCTACTCCGATTACTCATTATTCACCTTTCGCCAGGATTAGGTTCATTTGCATGTTCTCATTTATGTTGATGATTTGATCGTTGCTAGTAATGACTCTGTTGCGTTGTCTAAATTTAAAACCTATTTACACTCATGCTTCCACATGAAGGATCTGGGTGTCCTCAAATACTTTCTTGGCATTTAGGTGGCTCGGGGGCCTGAGGGTTTGTTCCTTTGCCAGCGGAAATATGCGTTGGATATCATTTCTGAGACCGGGCTTCTAGGGGCTAAACCGACTCTTTTTCCTATGGAGACCAACCATTCCTTCTCTCTTGCTACATGTGATCTCTTATCTGATCCCGGATCTTATCAACGGCTCATTGGACGGTTTATTTATCTCTCTTTCACTCGTCTTGACTTAGCTTATGTTGTTCACATTTTGTCACAGTTTATGCAGGATCCACGACAAGAGCATTGGGCAGCGGCCTTACGAGTGGTTCGCTATCTAAAGGGGACTCCGGGATAGGGAATTCTCTTACAAAATACGTGTGATTTTTCTCTACATGGTTGGTGTGATTCTGACTGGGCCAGCTGTCCACTCACCCGTCGTTCTCTTACTGGATGAATGGTTTTCCTCGGTGACTCAACTATTTCATGGAAGACTAAAAAGCAACATACAGTTTCTCGGTCATCATCTACCGAAGCCGAGTATCGGTCTATGGCTGCTTTGACTACGGAATTAAAATGTCTTAAGGGTCTTCTCTCCACTCTTGGTGTTATTCCCCCGCAACCCATGTCTCTATTTTGCGACAGCAAATCTGCTCTCCATATGGACCATATTGCTCACAATCATGTGTTCCATGAACGTACAAAGCATATTGAAGTTGATTGCCAATATATTCATGATGATGCTATTCCGGATGGCTCAGTCGTTGCGCGTCACGTCTCCATTACTGAACAGCTTGCTGATATCTTCACTAAAGCTCTGGGCTAGACGCAATTTTCCTACTTACTTCGCAAGTTGGGCATATTTTATCCCCATGCTCCAACTTGAGGGGGGTGTTAACACCCGTATGGTCTTAGTATATATCTGTATAGTTTATTATTGGGCTAAGGGCTTTGTTTGTATACTTTATTGTATAAATACCCTTGTACTAGTTATTACATGGAACGAGAAAGATTTATTCCCTAAATTATTAATTGTTCAACACTAATTAATGACAGAAAGGGAACATTGATTGATTCTGAGGGCAACCAAATTTCGGAGCTGATCAGGCATAACCACATAAAAAATATGTAAATGAGCAACGCATGTCAATACTAAGTTCTTACCGCTCTTGTGGCGTAGAGTACAATAATTTAGAGAACTAGACTGATCTCTCATGTGATAAGTTTCTAAACTACTGTCAAAACGAGCAAGCGTGCGGCTCTCTTAACGTGCTGATCTCTTAGCAAATGATTATGTGTATGTGAAGGTGCTTAGAATAATTTAGATCTCTCTTGAGTTATTCTCTATGCAATTATAATCCTAGTGGTCATTCCAAGTTACAAAAGATATTAGGTAAATTATTTAAACACAAACTAAACAATAATCATGCAATTAATCCATCAACAGTTTAACCTTAGATCATGATGAACATCCCCTTCATCAACCCCAAATCTCTAATTAAAACTACTCACAAGTCACAATTCATAATTGAAGAATCAACAAAATTGAGAAGGAAAATTTTAATTGTCATTGATTAAAATTAAAAGAGAGAACTTACAAACAATCTCAAAATTTGATGTTCAACGCTGAAAACCAATGAAAAATTTGTTCTAGGCTTTATCTCTAAGCTCTATAACCTAAAACTAAAGTTTATAGGCGGTTTAAATATAGAAACTAGTAATTCTAGCCAATAAAGGGTTTCTCCGTCGCGTGCACGACACCTGCGCACGACGTGTATGCGTCCGACCGAGAACTCTCGTAAAAATCTCTGTGCACGCTGTGCGCGACATCCAGTAGCTTCACCGACCAATCCCCTTTAAGAGGGATAGATCATAATATATTGAATTTAACCAAATATAAAAATTTAGTGGACATAGAGGTTATCTTGAGTCTTGGTTTAATGACTTCAGCTTTAACGCTCATATTAATTAAGATTACAATGCTTTAAAAGTATAAGAACATGAAGGTACAATAGAAATGTTACTTACACACCGATGGTTGGAAGAAACGAGCTCTTACACCTCAAGAACATCATAAAGAATAAAGAAATATCAAAGCTATACACTATGATGGATTGAAGGGTTTAAATAGGCCAGAAAGTGATTTTTAATAATTTATTCATGATGCTAAATCATAATGGTGAGAACTTTATGAGACATCATACCCTCCAAATATCTTAATTTGCAGTTCGTGCTATTTTTTTGCAGATTCGGCCATGTCTGGCGCCGCCGGTTGGGTATGTACGACGCCATTTTTCACCCATTTTGTTCACATTTCACAAGTGACCGACGTCGGTGGCGTCCATGACCGTCACGGGTTGTGTCTTGTGAGATGACCAGCATTGGTTGGTCCCCAAATTGCAATTACATAGTTTCG